ATCAACTTCTTCAATCTGAAATCGATCAAACATGCAATCAAGATGTATTGATCATTATTGGTGATCGGAATGCAAAGATTGGGAGCAAAGAGGAAGCATCAGTAGATAGAAAATGTGGCCTTGGTGATAGAAATTATGCTGGAGATTGTATGATAGAAATAACCTTCTTTAGACAGCATAAGACGAACATATACATGGACCTCGTCAGATGTAATACATAGAAATGAAATTGACTACATCTTTGGAAAGAGACTACATCAGTCAAAACAAGGCCGGGGAAGATTGTGGAACAGACCATCAATTGCTCATATGCAAATTCAAACTGAAACTGAAGAAAATTAAAACAAATCCACAAGAGCCAAAATATGGCCTTGAATATATCCCACCTGAAGAATAGATTTGATACATTAAACACTGAAGACCGGAGACCAGAAGAGTTGTGGGATGACATCAAGAACATTATACAGGTAGAAGGAAACGTTATTAAGAAACCAAGAAAGAAGGAAAAGTTCAAAATGGATGTCAGAAGAGAAACTGAAACTTGCTCTCCAGTGTAGAGATACTAAAGCAAATGGAAGAAATGAGGGGGGAGAAGAGCTGAACAGAAAATTTCAAAAATCAGCTCGAGAAGATAAAGCCAAATATTACAACAAAATGTGCAAAGATCTGGAATCAGAAAACCAAAAAATAGAACACGGTCAGCATTTCTCAAGTTGGGGAAACTGAAGAAAAAATTCAAGCCTCGAGTTTCGTTATTGAAGGATTTTCTGGGCAAATTACTGAATGATGCAGAAAGCATCAAAAGAAGATAGAAGGAATGTACCAAAAGGAAATGGTTAATGTTCAACCATTTCAAGAGGTACCATATGAACAAGAGCAAATGATACTCAGGGAGGAAGTCCAAAGTGCATTGAAAGAATTGGCAAAGAACAAGGCACCAGGAATTGATGGACTAAAAACTGAAATATTTCAAGAAAGTGAGGCGGCACAGGAGGCACTCACTCATCTCTGCCAAGAAATTTAAAAGACTACTATCTGTCCAACTGATTGGAAGAGATCTATATTTGTGCCCATTCATTCCAAAGAGAGGTGACACAATGGAATGTGGAAATCATTGGATGATATCTTTGATATACTATGCGAGTAAAGTTTTATTAAAAGTAACACAGAAATGGCTACAATCATACATTGACTGAGAACTTCGGAGGTTCTAGCTGGATTCAGAACAGGCTGTGGTATGAGGGATATCATTGCTGACGTGTGATGGGTCTTGGCTGAAAGCAGAGAATATCAGAAAGATGTTTACCTCTGCTTTATTGACTATGCAAAGGCTTTTGATTGTGTGGATCATGAGAAGTTATGGACAACATTACAAAGTATGAATATTCCTGAACACTTAATTGTGCTCATGAGAAATCTGTACATGGACCAAGACGCAGTTGTTTGAACAGAACATGCAAACACTGAATGGTTTAAAATGAAGAAAGGTGTGCAACAGGGCTGTATTCTTTCGCCACACTTATTCAACCTGTATGGTGAGAAAATAATCTGAGAAGTTGGGTTAAAGGAAGAAAAACATGGCATGAGGATTGGAGCAAGATTCATTAACAACCTGCAATATGCAGATGATAAAACCTTGTTTGCTGAAAATGAAGATGATTTAAAATATTTACTGTATAAGATCAAAGAGCACAGCCTTCG